TCTAGATATACTATAGCATTTTTAATACTGTCTCTAAATCAGTACAAATTATCAGTATGTCAGCGTTTTATTGACACATTTTTACCGTCTGACAGTTTGTTTTCTCTTTCCCAACTTTTTCGCACAAATGCGTAAAAAAGTATTCCATTGAACTTTATCCGCTTTCGTTGATGAAATCGTTGATCTCTGCCAGGGACTTTGAAATGCGTGATAATGTGTTGTTCTTTTCACTTCGATCGATTATACGTTATCGTATTCGAATGACCGTGCGAGTTTCCTTGCTCGCATGGTTCCTGCAGATGAAATCCGGAAGATATGCTCTTGTTGTTCGCTCATCTATCTTTAATCCTTTCTCCGCAGCGTTTAATATCTTTATCTCTGGATGAGGAGCCAGCCAGCGACAAGGAAATCGAGACGATCGTACGACAGATCGTACGCTACTCAGTGAAGACGTCCAGTCCGCATTTTCACAATCAACTTTACGCCGGCGTCGACAAGTATGGACTGGCCGGCTCCTGGTTGACGGATGTCCTTAATACTAGCCAGTAAGAGCAATTTCAAGTTCTGAACTGTGCTTGAGGATGTTCAACAATGTATTTCCCGCGACTATTGGCAGATGCAACTCTCACGAATGCATATGATGAATAATCCGAGATATTTTCTTATCACCTTGTGACAGCAGACGATACCATTAACCTACTTGCACTCTCAGACTACACATCCTATCACATGTGACCTATCATATTACCCTCACGCTAAAGTCAAGGGTTATCGTTATCCAAGCGATTTTATTTTGTTGAGAACACAAAACTTTTTTTCAACAACAATGAAAATACATGACAGTCAGCTACTAATCAATTGTAAATGCTCTCATTACATCAACTGTAAATGCTCTCATAGATACACCTACGAAGTCGCTCCGGTGTTTACGTTGATAGAACGCAAACTGATCGATCAGTCGTTGGAGCTGGTAGGCTATCCACAGACACCGCAGGGCGACGGTGTGATGAGTCCAGGTGGCAGCTTATCGAACATGTACGGCATGGTGCTAGCCAGATACGAGTTATTACCGCAAGTGAAGAAAATGGGACTCAACGGGTGTCTACCTCTGGCGTGCTTCACCAGCGAGGACGGTCATTACTCGATTATGAAAGGTGCCCATTGGTTAGGCATCGGCATTGATAATGTCTACCAGGTATGATTTTCGGTCAACACTTAAAATTGTAAGCGAGGGACATGCAATTCGATGCAGCGGATTTTCACGTTGCAATTCAACGGGGCTTGGATACAACTCTCGCACGAGTCATTAGATTCAATGTCTCTGAATCGAAATTTTGATCCTTGAACTTTTGACGTTGATTTTCTATTTAACGTCTATTTTGATCCCAGCAAACATGATGACGTCAAATGTTTTAATGACGCATTAATGACGTCTCTAATATCAATAATATATCACTCTGTTATCTAGGATACTCTGAAGCCTATATCAACCACTTTTTCTTCTCAATATTTAACCTTCTTTTCAATTTCTTCTTTCTTATTTAACCTTCTAATCTCGCCTGAAAATTTTCTTTAAAACCTTTCAGTAGCATTTTGTACGTTTTCTGCTATTTAGCCAGGATTAAACAAAGGATATGGAAATTCAGTTTCCATATGTGTTAAACATACACTAATTCTTTAGAATATACAGATGTTAGAAAGTTCAAATGGAAGGTAGGGCTGCGACACATGGCACACAGAAAACCGTAAGACATAGGGCCGGTTTCACCAACTCCGATTACGGTCAAAGCTGAAATGAGTTCCAACTAACAATTCTAATGGATAAGAATGGCAAAGTACTCATGTTCATCAGTTGAAACCCTGACACCGTCGGTCAGATTTTGATCGTAATCGGAGTTGGTGAAACCGGCCCTTAAACAGTAAGAAAATTGACCCGTATAACAAACACTAACGATGTTCTTCTGTTGTTTCAGGTCAAGACGGATGAATTCGGTCGCATGGAACCGAGCGACCTGAAGAGAGCCATAAAAAAGGCGAGGGACGATTCTCATATACCGTTCTTTGTAAACGCTACGTGCGGTACCACGGTACTCGGCGCTTTCGATCCACTGTTAGAAATTGCCGAGATCTGCCAGGAAGAGGGGCTCTGGCTGCATGTTGACGTTCGTACAAAAGATACTGAAAATAAAAATGCTAAGTGCACGAAATGATCTGACCAAGGAACTATTTCAGGCCTGTTACGGTGGTACCCTGCTGCTCTCGGATAAGTACCGGCATAAACTGCGAGGGATCGAATTGTTCGTAATCATCGTCGTATCAGTGCCGTCGAGAGACGAAAGTCGAAAAGTCGCGAGTCCACGATCGTTCGAGATCGACATAGCCAGCTGATCGATTTTGAATAATCGTTGTGTCACGTCATGATATAATTTGTTCTAGAAGATAACAATTTGCTCTAAAAAATACAATTTGCCCTAAAAGATAACGAATAGATCGCGTTCGACGAAATTTTAGGTGACTCCTGCGAGCTCGACGACAATAAGTACTTTCCTCTCTGCGCCGCAAAGAGCACTCTTAAAACTTGAAAACGGTTCCATGGACATCGGTCCTCTCTCATCGGTTCTCTCGTTTGTTCTCTGATTCGAACGCGATCGGTTCAGATCTAACTCAGTGTCTTGGAATCCGCACAAGATGCTCGGAGTGCCGCTCCAGTGCTCTTTGTTTTTGGTCAGAAGCAAGAACCGGCTGTACGAAGCGAACTGCGCCGGGGCCAAGTATCTCTTTCAGCAGGACAAATTGTATGACGTTACCTGGGACACGGGAGATAAGAGTGTGCAGTGTAGCAGAAAGGTAATCTCGCGCAAATTTTTATTTAAATATCTCGATATTTAAAGACAATTATAACACAATTGGGAAGTGTTTGTTTCTTTACTTTAACGCGAAAAAGAAAGATTTAAGACGATTTAAGACGATTTAAGAAAGATTTAAGACAATTTTTAAGAAAGATTTAAGACGATTTCGAAAATGTTTTATGATATCGTCTAAAAAATCACATTAATCTTCCTTTATATGTGCCAAGGTCGATGCCATGAAATTTTGGCTAATGTGGAAAGCTCGTGGTACGAAGGGTCTTACGCACTCGGTGGACCAGGCGATGAACTGCAAAGAATACTTTTTGGAACGTATCAAGAATATCGCTGGCTTCCGCTTGGTACTACCCGAGTATGAATGTACAAGTGTGTGCTTTTGGTGAGTAACAGCGCGTCATCGTGTCATCGCGTTATTGCGAAATTCAAATATTATTAAGACGACATATCGTTATAGGTACATACCTCCGAGCATGCGTGGGCAAGAAGAAACTCGTAATTGGTGGGATAAATTATATAAGATCACATCTAAAATAAAGGAGCTTATGCTCTTGGAAGGATCGCTTATGGTCAGTTACATGCCTTTGCCGACGAAAAACATAGGCAATTTCTTTCGTATGGTGGTAAATTGTCAACCACCGCCCACAGAATCTTCCATTGATTATGTCATCAGTCAAATTGAAAAATTCGGATCGGATTTACGGTTAAGCAGTATATAAATCTCTGTATTTATAATCTTAAAGTAGTATATAAGAATCGATACATTTCAATAAGAGTGGGCGATACCTGTTGAAAAATAATTGATTAATTTTTTATGTAAAATATTTAATAAATAATATATATTATATATATATTATTTATATAAAATATATAATATATATTATTTAATATATAAGTATTATTAATAACGTCAATAATTATCAATATTTATCTACCATATATATATTGAGAAGAAGACAGAGAATCTAATTAAAAATAAAGATCGATCGGGCCTCAATTCTTCTTTAAGAACAATAGCGGCTCGTAGCGGAGACTTTGGAACTAATTTACCCGCAAATAAAGGGTCTAACGAAATGAGTAACAACCGATTAGTTTGACCCGATAAAAATTCGCTAAAACTGCTAACCTAAAGTCAACTAACGACGCTCTGAAAAACTCTTTAAGCTTAAGCAATTTTGGTGTCGGAAAAATATGATTTGCATCTTGGATAAGTAAAGTTTGAATCTTGACTGAATGAATAATGTTTGAAATTAGTTCCAAAATTTCCTCGCTGCAGTCGCTGCAGTCTTTAATGAAAAACAGCAAAAAACAGCAAAAATTGAATAAACTTTTGTTTCTACTTATTAATAATAAATAACGAATAATTTCTAAGTTGATAGTGAATTATAGTAGTGAAAAATAAGCTTCAAGGCGACTAAAAAATATATGTAGACACACGTAGAAACTGTGTGTTAACAGTAAAGTTTAATGATAAAACTTAATATTTAATTTTGGAGATTCGTTCTTACGGGGAGATTGTGTATAAAAAATAGTGAATCATCAACTCGTTAAAAAAAGATATTGCCTTTATTGCAAACGAGTGCGTTAGGTAAATGCGTCGGGTACAATAATTAATAATTCGCGTACACGCGACCTTAATAACAAAATCTCCGTTGCACGACAGCGTCGTTACTTTTTAGATTGTTGTTTCACATTTCTTTTCGCACAAACCAATTACATAGGCTTATACGCGAATAACATAAATTGTATGAGATATATCCTAACAGATCAAACTCCTCTAATTGATCGCCTTGGAAGACATCACAACGAGTTTCAAATGAATTCACCAATGAGCAAATCAAAATACGCCGATATACACGGGCACGGCAAGTAGGCGATTGTTTTGACGGTCGCGTGCATTAAACGTGATGCGCGGGCGCGACTCAATGTGAGCCAATATAAAACGCAATCATCGCGCATTATATGTATTTAGTCTTACGCATCTATTTATATAATATACGCCTTTCCGTCGTAGAAGTACGTTTAAGAAGACGCGCTTTTATGTACAACTCCGTATCATGGCACTACGTTACTCGAATAAAAAATTCGATATTCATGTATGAATAAAAACGAAAGAAACAAACTTTCTTTCTCTTTTTCAGGCGCGTAAACTCGTTTGCGAGACGATTTATACATGTTTTCTTCCGATGAAGTCAGGAGCGTATCAATTGCTCGCGATTGTGAGACACTACATACGAACGGCCGTCAGTTTTGATAAGAGCCAAAGTGATACTATCCGACATCATAACTGCAAAGGATTTAGAAAGAACATAAATATTTTTATTACACTTTGTTATCTATCAGATAAGAATATAATAAGAATATAATGAAGAGCGACTATTTATATATCGCGTGCTATTATTCAACTTCTGTCATAATAACAGTGCAAGCGCGTGAACATTGCCCCGCAGTCGGGACCATATAATAATCTCTTAATTTCAGCGGAATAAACGTGTATAAACTGTTGTGCAAACGAGTGTATCTATATAACGTTTTATATTTGTACAACGACTATCAATCGATCGATCCCTTCGTGTCGTGATTGCAACCCGAGTCACGCGATTGTTCCCTTTGTCTCCCTCTCTCGCTATTCTACATGCAAACAACCATTAAAAACATAAGAATGAAAAATGACACTTGATGTAAACAACTCCTTTAGATGACGAATCATGAAACTTTATACAAATGTGCAAAAATCGAATTCCTGGGCGTGAGCGGGACTGATTCTCGATTCCATACGCGGCATGCCTTAACTCTCCTTCTCTTATGAATATATGTACAGAAACAAAAATAAACTCTTATAAACTTCCTCGGAACAACGGTTCTCCTCTCGGCACGCCGAGTCGTCGCGCCGCTCGGCGCGTCATACGCCGAGCGGCGAAGTGCCGCTCGACTTACGAGTACTTCCGCACGTCAAAAAACACGCGATGAACGAGAGAAAGAGACCATCGCTGCATCCGCGATCTCTGAAGAGTGTACGTCGCGTCGCAGATGCGTCGCCGGTCGCAATGTTATCGTTAATACTCACATGTGGCGAAGAACGCGCATATATCGCTTACCTAATACTAAAAACGTAGTCTTGCACGGACGCTCGTTCGATGCCGTTTTTACTTTAATTAAGTAGATACTCGCAATCTTTCTTCTTGTCGACTCATCTCATTCATACCGAAATTTTACGCTTCAATCTCGATCGTGCGTCGATTTACCGAATAGACAGCTGCCAAACGCGCGAGTTGACGTCTCGAGTCAACATCGACACACTGTACATGTAGATCACATGGCCTGGCGGACCAGAACGCGAATCACCATTCGGGCAAAAATAATATGATGCCGGTTATCCGTTCAGTAATATTTGTCCTGATCGAGATCGGCACGAATGTGTTGCTGGCCGTGACTATTGCGCTTCAATGTGGCGGACTCGTAGTCGAGACTCTTCGGGTACAACTTGGGACTACCGAGACCGTTGACGTTGGGATTACTCTTGCCGCGTAGGGTCCCGTTTCCGTTGGTGCTGCCCGAGAAGCTAGGCTGTCGCTTCGCATTCACCTGCGAGATCAATTTTCTTTTCAAATACCTGTTCAAGGACATGTGCTAACAAGTTCACGTATTTCTGAATCTTACCTCTTTCAGCGGCACGGTGACGTAAGGGTTCTGTTTGCTGATATAATGTGGACTCCCGGGAATGCGCGGCTTGCGCCGCTTCAAATACCAGAAGCACAACACCGCGGTTAGGGCCAAGCCGATGACAAAGCCAATCACACTACTGCCTACTACTGCACCCACCGTGACGCCGGAGTTCTCTACACTCGACGGCAAAGCATTCACGTCTGGAAATAATTCGTTAATAATATTGGCACAATATTATTTATAATTTGGTAAGTCCAAATTTACAATAAAGTGTAGTAAGCCTTTAACCTTTTGCTCTGAGGCTTATAATTTCTGGCAAAAGCGTTTTCTGGGCTGTATTAACAGTTGAAATCTGGCCAACTCTCTTAAAACTTTGAGATTATGACTTTAGATAGCAGTAAAAAACGTTCTCAGCCGTAAATTTTGGGTTTAGAATATAAGGCCAAAGGTTGATTATCCCTATTGTAAATTATCCCAACTAACTCACCGTTGTCCGTGCAATCCGGGAGGCAATCGCGCGTTTCACGAGTTGGTCCTTGACACATGCCGGGGCCATGTTGAAGACACGACCGCTTCCGATGTTGTTGATGGTCACCGTCACAGGGTGTCCAATGCGACCACGTGTCCCAGCCAAGCAACGATTCGCAACTGGGCATCTCGCATGCTTCTCTCACCAGTCGTGGGCCGATGCAACTATCTGGGCCGAGACATTCTCTCGTTCTCGTGCGTGCACCGAGCCCACAGGACGCCGAACACTCGGACCACTCGGTCCAGCACGACCATTGACCCTCCGCCGTGTTACTTGCGACAGAATTCATCCGACACGGATGGGAGTTACAGATTCGACTCTGCGTCGACGGGCCCTCGCAAGGTGGTGATTTACATTGCCTCCCCTATAAGCGAAATGCATTTACGTTCCAATCTTGGACTACAACGAACGCATCGAGCGAAAATCGTGACGAGCGTGTGACGTTTACCCTGTGCTGAGTGCCCCTTCCGCAAGGACGGTCGCATGTACCCCAAGCGGACCATTCTCCCCAGCCGTTCTCGTTGGCGGATTCCCCGTACATGTTCGCGTTGACATTTCCTCGCAGACAGGAGCCATCGTTCCTGCAGTAACGCTCTTCTTCTTTGGCGAGTTGCACCCGCACGCTCGACGGATCGTTCGTCTGCGCGCGGCAGCTGAATCGAAAGCGTTTCTCCACGTAACCTACGCTGCCGCTTTGCAAACTGGCATTCACCGCCAACCAAGGAGTCCATCCGGAGTAACGCTTGGTCTCGGCACAATCAATGTTGCACTCTTCGAACTGAAATACATTGATCCTTGTTCATTCTGAACGACTTTTCATATCTGACCACCGAAAAGGACCTCGAATGCATGCTGATGTATCTTAGAACAAAGAAATCTTTTTCACGACTAGAGTGCTCACCTGAACGTCGCATCCGAGACATTCAAGACCGCCCTTCTTCGGTGGCGGGTTGTCACAGGTCCTCCTTCTGACACGTATACCTACGAAATGTGAATCGGTGAGTCACTAAGCGCGCGCTCGTGTTAAAGAAGAAACAGGAGAAACGAAGAATATAAGGAAAAGAAGTATAAAACAAGAAAAATACGATATTTTTCGTGTTATTTGCATTGTTATCGGGAAATTAGTGCGACGATATCGCGATATTTGGATACTCACCGTTGCATGGTTGCGAACACACATCCCAGGCACCCCAGTTCGACCACTGGCCATTCTGAGGTGGCGGGGCGACTTTGGCGGGGGCGGGACAGGGTGGCAGATCGATGCACACGATATCGTCGTGATCGTGGCCGACGCAAACGCGGCCGCCGAACGCGGGCGCCGGATTCGTACAGGTGCGCCGCCGAGTCTTCATCGCGAAACCGCAGGTCTGAGAGCAGGCCGACCAGGCGGACCAGGCGGTCCAACCGCCGTGAACGGTGCAATTTGTTACTTTGACACGAGCACCCGTGCAATTCTCCCCGCCGTGCTGCGGCGGAGGATTGTTGCATTCTCTGGTCTGGCACTGGCACGTGTCGATGTTCTGCAGACGAGATACGAACGTCAACTTTCGCGGCTCGGTGGGAACGACCGAGAGGAGATGCAATGTACAATTCGGAGGTTCAGTCGAGAAGCGACTGTAATCAAACTCGCGCCATGAATAGCGTCATGAAGTCTCGGGGTTTCGTCCCACGTGCGGTAAAGTGGCTCACCGAGTTAACTTCGTCGTCGGTTACTCGCGATCGACGTTGTTTGCAAATGGAAATGAAGATACGCTCGACGAGAGATCGGACTGAAGAGACTGAACTACCGAGGGCGATGAAAACCGCGAGCAAACACGCTCTGTCCGCTCTAACCACTCACCTCCGCGTTTTCATTGTGTGGATGCGAATGGACGTGACCGTGCCCGGACGATTGTTCCGCCGTACCGTGTTGACAAGGCGACCAAGAGCTCCATGCGCTCCAACCTCCGTCCACGGGATCGGTAAGCACTGGACATTTGGTGACCTCTTGGTGCCAATGATTCGCCAGGTAATTCTGCTTCGGTGCCTGCGCGCATTTCATTAGATGCTCGTTCCACCCGCAATACGGCTCCTGGGCGTTCAAGCACGCTTGACGACTCCGATGACGATAACACTGGACGGCGGGTATGCTGGATGGGCGAAAGATCGATTATCAGCCAGAATGAAAGAGAGAAAGAGAGAGGGAGAAGAGGGAAGAGATGTGATGACATTTATGATATAATATACATGTATATGTAATGTAATGTAATATACACACAATTAGACAATGTCACTGGCGTCTTCCCGATACACCAGTCGCATCTGGTAAAAGCCAGACGAAGACCGAATGATCCGTTAAACATAAAGGTCGTTGTCTTACCGTAACAAACCGATCTCCATGCCGACATAGAGGCTTTGAGTGTCCTTGAGAAACTGCAAGGTCATCGGTGGTGAGGGTAAAGGACCCCAGACCTCGACGATGCAGGTTTCCTGCGTCCTCGGTAAGACGGAGATCTTCTTGATCAGTCCGGTCGCGGTGGCGACATAGAGAACGGTCACACCGCGATGCAGCTTGGTCGGTGTGACGTCGACGGCGATATGGGTGAACCGCTCAAGAGTGGCGGTGTACAACGGCTCCGGCATCGTGCTCTGAACCGCGTCATCCATCAGCTGGTACTGTTGATTGTCCATGATCTGGTGCGGCGCGGTGTTGGACGACGGGCCGCAGCGTTGTCGATTGTGATGAGCGACTTGCTTCCTTTTCCAGGCGTCGCTCACCTTCTCCTGATACTTGTACGGCCCGTTGAAACTGGCGGCGATGGCCGACATGTTGAACGCGCAGATCGCCGAGCCTGCGATGCCGTTACTGAATGCAAGAAGAGAAAAAGATTCCGTTGAAGCTGTTGAGCTTGCAGCCCCGAGCTTCGTAGCTTCCGTACACGAAACGCATTCCATTATGATCGATAGCGCGACCGAGGCTGACGAATGATTTTCGATATTAGAGATAAACACTGGCGGATTGTATAATCAACAATGTGGCATTTACCGTCTCTCGCATTCCCCTGAGATGTTGTGCAGACATAGAGACAGGCATAAACACAGACAGAGGTAATTAATGGGCCGGCGAATAGTCCGAATTTGAGAACGATACTCACATAGGAGTCGTGAAGGTCGCGTAGATGATCCCCTCTTCCGGATGATAGGCTGCGCCTTGGATCTCGTCGTAATAGAATGGGAATTCGCCGGGTAGCGAGCAATTCAATCGAGCCTTCCTGAACGTTGTCCATGCCTCCTTCATCACGATCTGTCCACCTTGGTCATGCTTACAGACCCTCGCTATCCTCGAGTATATCCTCTGCAAGCGCACACGGCGACGTATGATTACACGCTGTTCCAGCGTCGGTATTATAACGACTGATGCACGATACGATAATTCCTACCGGGACAACGCGAAAGTCGCGGAGTGGATGATGAAAATCGGTGGGAGGAAAAAATAAATGAAACGCGCAGTCTCACGCGGCGGTATGGGGTGTTCTCCCACACTGAGGGAAAAATGTGGTTAATCTCGCCAAAAATTATGGTTATTATCGGCGCCAACTATATCTTCTTGTTGCTCTGACAAAACAAGTAGTAGTAATAATATACATGTAAGGCTATTAGCATTGACACTATAATAAACACTTACTACAAAAATCAGGTTCTCCTGATTGTAATTCTGTCGCTATGATTATAGTCACAGATACCAACTTTTTTTCTCAGTGCAGGTTCTGGTATACCACATGAGTGGTAAGTCCACAGTCAAATGATTCCTGAGTTTTTATCTGGGGTTTTTCTACTCGAGAAGACTCGCAGTGATGATCGAAATGGTTGGGTAATCCTTAGAGGGGTCTGTTTGACCCCCCCCCCCCCCC